TTCCTGTGGAGAAAATCAGGGGGTGGAAACTGAGCAAGGAGCGCTTCCCTTGACCTTTCACAAATAGACCCCATTACACCTCCCAGAGAAAGGCATCAGTAGCAAAGGTCAGAACGAACCCGCCAAAGAGGGCCTTTCCCCGGAGCTGTCTGCCATTGGTTGAAAACAAAACCCCCACCAAATAAACAAATGGACCAAATATCGATAACTGCTGAAGCTCAGTGATGGTACCTGGCAGCTGACACTCTCTCGTTTGTATATGCTCAAAACTTTCCATTGTAAAAAGTAAATACACACACACAAGTGGGGTTGGAAGCACAAATCCCCAAGGTTCCTGCAGCTACTAGGGACAAACACCCATTACTCTCACATTGTGGCTTGGGTGGCATGCCTTTGCTTCCTTCCCCCTGTAGGTCACTGTTTCCCTTCCTGGTCCCAGCACCCTGGAATTGTCACAGGACCCAGTCCCAAGCATACCCGGTCTTTCTCCTGCTTTATAACCACCATCTGTCCATCCTCTCCCTGCACCTCTGTCTTGATGGGCTTGATATCCTGAGTGGGCGGCTGGCCAGGGAGGGTGTCCGGCAGCTGGAGGAAGAAAAGTTCTTCCTCCTTGGTGAGGCTCAGCTCCCTGAGCAGCTCTGCCACAGACATGTCCTTCGGGAGGGCCGGGGTCTTCCTGGCTGCTTTGGTTGGAACCGCCTTCATCTTGGCCTCCTCCTCCTCATCTCGTGGTTCCTCTTTCACTGCCCGGGATGATACAAATGGAAGGGCTATTGAGTGGCCACCCTCTATGTCAGCTCATTGTTCCCAGCCCTTTGCCCCCGTTTGTTCCATTGTCACTAAGCCAGGAAGCTGGAGGCAGACCCTGGTTACGGAGAGGTGCAAGAGACAGCATATATTCAAGAACTGCGTGACCTCTCTGAAAAGGGATATCTTAGGCTGGGCCCACTGATCCATGTCAACACGTGACTCCACCCAGAGGAAGAAGTCAGCGTCATTGTTCAGCTCAAGTATTTTTCAGCTGGAGTGGGAGAAGACCCGCTCATGGGCAGCAGTCTTGGAGACTCCTGCAAGGGAGTCCTGGGGGGCAGTCATGAAAGACATGAGAAGTTAACTGACATGGAATACCTTTCACAGCAGGGACATCAACCTCCATGTCTTCTTCCTTGGGACCAGCCAGCCAAGGCTTAACATCTGGTTCTTCATTCTCTTCCTTAAAAAGCCACCCCGAGTGAGCCAGCGGCAGCTGCACAGGCATGTTTCGAATGTCATTCCTCAGCCCAGGATCATCGATGAACTGCCAAAGAGTTGGGAGGAGTGGTCACACAACCTGCCAGCACACGTACCTGGATCACCATCCACCTTAGTCTTTTTCTAACCAAATATCCTTGCTGTTACTAGGATTCCATGACATCAGTGAGCTGCCCCTGACCTGGCTCCCCCAAAGCCCTTTTCCACAGCCACAAGGAAGCCCCTTTCCCCAGCCCCCTGGTACCTACATCATCCTTCTCCAGCATACGCAGGATCTGTTTTGTTTCTTCATCTGTCTCCCTCTTCTCTTTTTTGATGTTGATGATGTGAGAGGGTCCCACGTCTGACATATCCACTGTCTTATCCCAGCTCCCTGTGGGAAATCACCCAGTTCACTAGGGATAACTGAGGAAGAGGCCAAAAGCAAAGAAAACTAAGCTGGGAGCAGGAGAATTCCACTGCTCCTGCCCTTCTATTGGGCAGTCTGAACTACAACCCACTAATGATTTCTTCCTTATACCTTTTTTCTTCATCATTTCAGCTGGGCCCTGCTCAAAGATGGAGTGGGACTGGATCACTTCTGGGCGGCCCCGGCCCCGCCCATGCCCCTCTCGCTGTCGGTCTCTATCCCTTTCACGTTTCTCCTTCTTGACAGTTACTTCTTCCTTGGGTCTGGAAAACAGAATGGATCAAAGGAAATCACTCAGCCTGAGGAAACTGGCCTTATTCTCCCACACCACTTTGCTCCAACTGAGCAGGGAGTTTATGAGCCAATAAGCTTCCTTGATAAGGCAGGATCCTCAGTCTGCTTTACTTTAACCTTCCTGTCCAAAAAATGTAAAAAAAAAAAAAAAATTTTGTTTTTGCATTAACTGAAAGCAAGAAGGATGCAATGCAGAGGGACTTAAGGGAAAGTGTGAGACATCTTTGTTTAAACTAGTGGCTCTCAACTCTGGCTGTAAAAGAGAATCACTCCATTCCACTACAAACAAATTAAATCACAATTTCTAGAAATAAGTCACAGGCATCAGTTTTTTTTTTTTTTTAAACTTGCACATTAAAATCACCTGGGATGGTTGCGATCCCGTTGCCGGTCCCCGGTCCGGTACAGGGGCAACACTGAGGGTTGCGATCCGTTGCCGGACACGGAAAAAGACAAAAAAAGACAAAAAAAAAAAAAGAAAAAAAAAATCACCTGGGAGCCAGGGTTGAAAGTCACTAGTGAAAAGAACTAAAGACACAAATTTATTTATTTATTTATTTATTTATTTTTGTCTTTTTCGTGTCCGGCAACGGATCGCAACCCTCAGTGTCGCGCCCGTACCGGACAGGGACC